GTTCCTGTGGTTAGTTCAGGCTCAGTGGGAAATTTGAGCTTCGATTTGCAAAAGGGAATAAAGGCAACGGGACTTAGGTTTCCAGTAAAGGTGTCTTTCTCTGAATCCAGTCGGTGTGGGTTGTTCCAGTAATTGAGTTGCTTGTTGGAGGGCGGACAGGGTTTACCCAGGTTTAGGTGTTTCCTTGAGTAACAGAGGAGCTGACTGCCACTTAGATTTCCTATGGTACTTGAACTGTTTCTTGTGGAGATAAATCCCCTGCTCAGAGAGAAGCCCTAACAATCCCTTGGGGAAAAGTAGATCCAAACCTCCAGTTTCAATCCCCAGCTCAGTTTGAAACTCAGACGATACTTCCAGGGGCAGAAGGCCCAAAACATCCAGTTTGCAGGATGACTTCCCAAAACTGGCAAACACCAAACACAAGAGTCCTCCGGTAATGAGGCAACCATCCGCAGGTGTGTGAGAAGGCCAACGAGAATCAGGCGCCACCTGGTGGTAGAGGGAAGACACAAAAACACAACCCACACAAACTGGATTCCTAACACAAGGTACTTTCATTTGTCTTGGACAGATTGTTTTCTTTTAATTATTTGTTTAAAGAAAAAATCTTAACCTTTTTTTTACTACATTATTATTTATTACATTTGGTTAAAACCTTGTTCGGTGTTGTGTTATTTGTAATCCTTTTCTTCATTGCGAGGAATGTAAACTTTCAAGCACAGCTGTATGCTGCAGTCAAACTGTGCATTATCCCATAATGCTGCTATATCCAATCACATAAAAATAATTTGCAGTGATTCTCACCTGAGGTTCAACTCATTGCTGGATCCTCATTTACTCATAGTAACAAACTGTGACATGCAATGGAACCCCAAAGCCAATATACAGTGGTTTGATTTTTAGAATGGTATTTTTTATTTGATGTTTGAATAGTAACTGCAAACAAGCATAAAATAAGACAAACTCATGAGAAGCTGATCCGATTTACACTGCATTCTCTTTTAATGCACCTGCCTCTATGTTGTTTTTTTCATCTCCTACATGGTGATGAATTTAAACTAACTTTTGAAGCCAGTCTGTGGGCTTCTAGTCCCAAAGAAACCTGCTGCTGCTGTCCAGCACCTGAGAAGCATGTTGGGCGAGTGGGACAATCTTATTTGACAAAAGCAATGCCATGACAGTAGTTGCTGCGCATGCCATTAACCAGGGAGAACGCAGCAAAGACCTCTGCGCCTCTGGTTCTTGTACCACTCTGGTTTTAAAAGGCTTAGCAACCCGTTCCCACTGTGTGAGGATAGCCTGTCTGGCTCCTGCCCACTGTCCGGGCCCAGTGAGGCGATACTGGTAGGGAGTGCAGGGACCAAAGAAGACCTTTACCCAGAGGACTGGGTCTGTTAGGAATAGTCTCAGAAGGTTTGGTTTAACACCAATCTATGAGAGGAAAGGATATTATTTACTTGTCAGTGTCTTAAATAAATGACAAAGTGTTTGGAGGTACTTACCTCGTTGGCCATGAAATCCAAGTATTGGATGAAATTCACTTGGAGAACAGCTTGTTGAGGATTAGGGTAGCTTTAAAAACATCAGAAAGAAGGTTTAACAGAAATATATTTAACCTAAAATTCAGCTCTGATGATCAGGATGATGGTTACCTGTGAATGTTTAACCTCCTCTCGACCTCTATGGCTTCCAGCATTTTCTGCTTCGATGGAAGACGGGCGAAACCTAAAACATCAAACATACAATCTAACACATCTGGATTTAACGACTCTTCAGTGCTTTAAATTGTTATTCATATGTCTAGATTTTTTTAATATGTTGATTTCCTAAAACTACCTTTCTAAATGATCGGAGACCAACTGAAAAAAGAGGAAACAGTGACTGTTTTAACTAGTGGTGTGCCGTTAGCGGCGTTAACGCAGCAAGTTAACACCAGACTCTTATCAGGCAATAAAAAAATATCGCCGTTAATCTTTTCTCACAGCTGGGTTGGAAACTGGGTCCATACTAATGATGACTTTCACCAATATTTTAGCACTGATGTATATCAGGCACTGATTTTTATGATGAATGAATCAGTTTTCGAACCTGTGTAGGCTCTTTGTGAAATTACCAGATTGAAAGTGGTGTTCTGGCATGGATGCAGCTATAAGCGCAGCTCTAACAGCCAAGCTAACCAATCTCCCGGCTCAGTGGATAGCCACAAGCTGCCAGCCCATGGCTGATGGGCTCCAACTCATTCTCCAGGCGGCCACAGGTGACCCATGTTACAAACTACCTGTGAGGCGAACTATCATGAGGAGAATATATGACCAGCACACCGCAGAGACTTTTAACAACACTTTATTATGTTAAATGAGGAAGTTATGTCCCCTAAAAAGCTGTTGCGCCTCGGGGCTTCCTCACGGTTCTGTTCCTGGGAGCAAGTTGCTTACTACTCTTAACTCAAACTGGGTAAAACCATATAAAAAAGGACT